ACACACACACACACACACGCACACACACGCACACACGCACACACGCACACATGCACACACGCACACACATACACACACACGAATATAAATAAAATTTTTTAAAGATGATGTTTACTAGAACAGAAATGTTTAGCAAAAATAAGTTTTCCTCGGGGCTGGAAAATGGTTCAGTTGTTGAGAGCATAGGACCCAGGTTTAGTTCCCAACACCCACATGGCAGCTAACAACCATCTGTAACTCCAGTTCCAGGGGATCTGATGCTCTCTTCTGGCCTCCCTGGGCATTGTATGACACTGATACACATATATATGTATATATACAGGCAAAACATTCAAACATATAAAACTTTTTAAAATTGTTTAACCTGGGCATGGTGGTACACACCTTTAGTCCTAACACTTGGGAGGCAGAGCCTCTCTATGAATTCAAGCCCAGACTGGTCTGCATAGTGAGTTCCAGGCCAGTTGGGACTACAGGGAGACCCTGTCTCAAAAGATTTTTTTTTTAAATTGTTTAAATCTTTAAAAAATAAGTTTTTTGGGGGGGGCTGGCAAGATGGCTCAGCAGTTAAGAGTACTGACTGCTCTTGCAGAGGACCCGGGTTCGATTCCCAGCACCCACACAGCAGCTGCAAACTGTCCTTAACTCCAGTTCCAGGGGTATCCAAAGCCCTTTTCTGACCTCTGTGGCATTGCACAACATGGATGCACTCACACATGTAGGCAATACACATAAAATAAAAATAATAAATTTTTTTTTTAAAGTTTTTTAGCCAGGCGTGGTGGCGCACACCTTTAATCTCAGCACTTGGGAGGCCGAGGCAGGTGGATCTCTGTGAGTTCAAGGCCAGCCTGGTTAGTTCCAGGACAGCTGGGGCTACAGGGAGACCCTGTCTCAAAGAGACCAAAAAACAAAAACAAAAACAATGCAGTCTCTGTCCAACTTAGCCCATTGGATTATTGGGAGCTTACCAAAAAGACACCCTCTGCCTAGCACAGGCCAAATCTCTAGAATCCTGGAGGGAAGCAGGTGTTCATGAGAAATCACTGTCTGTTCCCTTCATCTGAGCATGGTGTGCAAACCTTATTAGTCAGAAAATGCTAGGAACACTCCAAGAGCCAGGCTCCCAGACTCTAGCCTACCAGCAGTCCTTGCTAAGAGCTGCCTGGGGCCTGCTATGTGACCCCAAACTATACAGCCATACGAAGCTTGCTGTGCCTTCGATATGCAATCAAGAAATTGCCATTTAGTGTACAATGCTCCTCAAAGACAGAATTAAAAACTGAGATGTGGTGATGGACACCTGTAATCCCAGGAGGCTCAGGAAGGAGGACTGCACAAGGTCCAGGCCAGCTTGGGTTACAGAGCAAGACCCTGTCTCAAAACCAAAAATGAAAAATAGACAAGGAGGACAAGATGGTTCAGGGGGTAAAGGCACCTGCCGCCCAGAGTGACAACTTGAGTTCCATCCCTGGGACCCACGGATGAGAACCAGTCCCTGAGTGTGGTCCTCTGACTTCCACATGTGAGCCTGGTGTGTGCGCACACACAAATTAAAAAGACTCCATAATATTGCATTTTTAAAGAATTTGTAATTTCCTTACAGTGGAACCATTAGATTATTTCTAAGTTTCTTCTTTTAAAAAGTTTTTAACAGTGCTGGGAATTTAACCCAGGCAGGGCCTCGCATATGCTAGTCAAGTGTTCTACCACTGAGCTACAAGCCCAGCCCATACATTCAATGAAAATGAATGTATTTTCATTTGGTGTACATACATGCACAAGCACTTTTATAAATCTTGAATTTTTTCTCTAAGATACATTTCCAGGGCAGAGTTATAGTTTAAAATCTCTTTAAAGCTATCTGACAACTGGGGCTGAAGAGATGGCTCAACGGTTAAGAACACTGGCTGTTCTTGCAGAAGACCCAGGTTTGAATCCCAGCACCCACATGGCAGCTAACAACTGTCGGTAACTCCAGTCCCAGGGGATCCCACAGCCTCTTCTGACCTCTGCAGGCATTGCACGACATGGGTGCACTTACCTACATGCAGGCAATACATGCATACACATAAAATAAAAATAATAAATTAAAAGAATTTTTTTTTTTAAAGCTATCTGACAACTAGAAAGAAAAGCACACAAACTTACCCTTATGAGCCTCCCTGCTCTCTGTTATTGGTGTAAATCTCCCTTTCCTTTTTAGTAACAGCTGCATGAAGAAAACAATTTACATACCATACAATTCACCCTTTTAGGATAAAGAAACTGATGGAATGTTGGAATGGAATACTATTCAGCCATAACAAAGTAAATTCTGCCATTTGCCACTACTTAGATAATAGAGGACATTCTCAGTGAAATAGGTCAAACATAGAAAGAAAAAACACTGTATGATCTCATGGATGTAGAATCCCCCTCCAACACACACACATACACACATACACACACACACACACACACACACACACAAGCCTCATTCATATACAGAATAAAGAATGGTAGGTTGCAGAGGAAGAGGAAACAGGGAGAGGTAGGGTGGAGAATATAAAATTGCCAATAGGAAGGATGGAAAAGTCTAGAAAAGCTAAAGTGCAACATGATGGTTACAGATAAGATTATATTGTATCTGAAATTCCTGAGAAATGAGTTTTTAGTTGCTCTTACCACAAACAAATAATAACTGTACAATCAATCATAGCTACAGTTCATTTGTGTCACAGTAACATTTTACTGTCTCATGTATCTGATAACATCAAGTCACTAAACTTAAACATACACAATGTAATTTATTTCTAGAAGTTAACCCGATTGACCAGCTGTGTGGAATTTATCTGTAATCTCAGCACTCCAAGGCTGAGGTAGGAGGGTCATAAATTCCAGAATCAGGGCTACACACTGAAACCTTGTTTCAAACAAAAGGGGGAGGGGTGGGTGCTGGAGAGATGGTTGCTCAGTGATTAAGAGAACTGGCTGCTCTTGCAGAGGTCCTGGGTTCAGTTCCCAGGACCCACATGGCAGCAAACAACTATCTGTAACACCCTCTTCTGGCTCCATGGGCACTGCATGCACATGGTGCACTTACACACATACAGGTAAAACACTCATACATAAAAAATTTAAAAACAGAGCAAAACAAAACAAAAATACCCACCCATTTAAAGCACTCCAGGGCCTAGAAACAGAGCTTGGCGCTCAGGGGTGGAGTACATGCGAAGCTAGTTCCTGGCCTGGTTTCAATCTTCCAAAATGAATAAATAAAGCAGAGTGCACAATTGAGAGGTGCACAGCATATTCACAACAATGTGTGGCATCACCTCTTTCTGATTCAGAGCATTTTCAGAATCTCAAAGGGAAACAGCATCTGTAGCCCTGGTAGCCCTGCATTCCCTGCACCGTCCTCTCTCCCCAGCTGTGTTAGATCTGTATAGACTTGCTCATCCAGGACTTTTTTTTTTTTGTCTTTTTGAGACAGGGTCTCCCTGTAGCCCCAGCTGTCCTGGAACTCACTATGTAGACCAGGCTGGCCTCAAACTCACAAAGATCCACCTGACTCTGCCTCCCAAGTGCTGGGACTAAAGGCGTGCACCACCACACCTGGCCCCATTCAGGACATTTTTAAAAATTTTTTATTTTATGTATATGACTGTATTGCCTGCATGCATGTAAATGCACCCATATTGTGCAATGCCCACAGAGGTCAGAAGACCATGTTGGGTCCCCTGGAACTGGAGTTATCAATGGTTCTTAGCCACCATGTGGGTGGTGGAAATCAAACCCGGGTCCTCTGCAAGAATATCAGTGCTCTTAACCACCGAGTCATCTCTCCATCCCCAGGACATTTCATATAAACAGAACGACACAGCATGTGGCCTTTTGTGTCTGTCTTCTTTCCTACTTCTTCCCTCTTTGTGTGTGTGTGGTTGTGTGTGTGTGCAGCTAGCTATACACACCCATTTATGTGAACAACAGAGGATACCCTCGGGTGTTGTTCCCAGGTGCTAGCTATCCACCTTTCTTCTGAGATCAGGTCTTTCACTGGCCAGGTAAGCTGGGCTGTCTCGTCAGAGACCCCAGGAATCCACCTGTCTCTGTTTCCCCAACACAGGGATACCAAGTACACACCACCATGCCTAACATTTTTTTTTACTTTATGTGGGTTCTGGGGATCAAATTCAGGTCCTCTAAAGCAAGCATTTTATGCACTGAACTATCTCTCCAACCCCTCTTTCTCTGTACTTTTGTTGTTATTGTTATTTGAAAGGATCTAATCGTGCAGCCCAGGCTAGCCTTCAGTTTGCAGTCCTCCTACTTAAGCGTCCTAAATTCAGGGATAACAGACAAGGCTAGCATAGTATTGTCAAGGCTCATCTACATGATAGCATGGGCCACCAATTCATTCTTCATCTCTGAAGAATATTTCCTTACACAAGCATATGACATGTGTTGATCCATTCACTAGTTGCTAGACACTTGAGGTGATTTCATTTTTGCTGTTATAAATAAGATGGCCCATGGTTATGATCTCAGAACTTAGAAAATGAAGGCAGGAGAATCAGGAATTCAAGGCCAGCCTCAGCTACACAGCAAGTCTGAGAACAGCCTGGGTTACATGAGCCCCTATGTTAAACAAACAAACAAACAAAAAAAAACGTTAAGAAAATGTGAATAAGGAGCTGGAGAGATGGGCCTGGGTTCAAATCCCAGCACCCACATGGCCGCTAACAACCATCCATAGCACCAGTTCCAGGGGATCCAATGCCTTCTTCTGACCTC